AAAATCTTCTTCTTCTTCTTCTTCTTCTTCTTCTTCTTCTTCTTCTTCTTCTTCTTCTTCTTCTTCTTCTTCTTCTTCTTCTTCTTCTTCTTCTTCCGATGTTTTTACTGTGTCACCTGCATTATTGCTAACATGTGTTAGGCCTACATAAGGGGACCATTTGATGCCTATAGGTTAAGGTGTTCGCCTCTCATTCAAAGGTCCTGGGTTCGAATCCTGGTATACCGGTAGCGACCGAAAAATGTTATTCTCTTAATTTGTCTCCTCTGTCCTGCTTTCCAGCAACGTTCTGTCCACGTAGGATTATGCGCAGCCGCGGTTTTTTTTTTCGCGTAATTTTGCACATTTGCATAATTTTGGATTCCCCGCGTTTTTCCACGTTTTTTTTCCCTTTTTTTTTGGTAACAAAACAATTAATTTTATTAATAAACGTCTCGCCATGTGACTAAAGGGAAATAATCACCGTAATAAGTCTTATTTAAGTGAAAAGTTGGTTATTTCCCTTGGTAGAAGATCTTGGTTATGGTTTGGGATTTTGTTCCTTGAGCATGTTTCAATTTTTCAATCCATCAAAAGTTGTTCTTCTCATGTCTGCTGATGCTTCATGTTTGACAGGTGTTCTTGGTTTTAGTAATGTGCCAGCATCAGAGGTCCAGATGTCCTTTATTTATTTTTTTTAATATTTTTTTTACATTTTTCTTTCTAGATCTAAAGCTTAAAGTTACAGAGATTATATTTTTGAGTTGTTTTGTTTTGTTTGTTTTTTTTACAGATGTGTATTGTTTTCTTTCCAAATACACTACAAATTACTGAGACTGATATGTTCTGTTTTAAATTTTTCTGTATTTAAAACATAAAAGTCATGAAAATTTGTGTTGAAAAAGTGCAAAACATGTCGCGAAAGGTGTTACGGTAACTTGCATCATTTTTGCATAATTTGGCTTTTTTTGGGGCATAATTTGGCCTTCTAAATTCGCATAATTCTCCTCCCATCCCCTCACCTCCTTTGCCCCTTCCTTGGGCTCATGACTCTAGCCTTTCTGCTGCTGCTCCTTGGCTTCTTACTGCTGTCTTTCAGCTTTTACTTTCAGCCACACCCCTGATCTTCTGGACGGAAAATCTTCTCCTAGCCTTCTTGACCTAGTTAGATAAAGAAAGCTTTTCTTTCCATTTGATTCATGTATATATTAAAAACCGCTCTTCGGATGCATACACAGGATCACTAAATTAAATGACTTACAGTAGTCTAGCCAACAAATTGCTCATTTTGAGACAGCGACACCACCCTGCCCCCACATTTCAGTGTAAGATTGTAGATTTCATCCCACAACTGTCTTGACGTCTCAACGTGCTCCACGTGGGAGTAAAAAAAAAAATACTCACCACGTCTCTGCTTGTGAATCGTGTTTCTTCGGCGAAAGTTATAGAGTGGTGTTGAGGAAAATATTGTTATGTCAACTTTTAAATGTTTTAGATGCATGCTGTAAATCTCCTATTATTTTTTTTTAAACCCGTTTTAGGCTTACCTCAAAGAAAACGTGTCGGAACGTTAGTGTGCAGTGACTTTTATGAATGGGCTGTTAAGATTCTGTAGGTTGTTGAATTATCAGTACTATCAGACCCGCATGCAAAGACCCAGAAAGATTAAGCGGAGCGATTTGTTTGTATATATTATCCCGTTTTAACCACGGGTCAGACGACAGTGAACGACCTAGATCGAGTCATTAATTTTAGTGATCCTGTACATGTATGCATCCAGCTAGAGCGGCTTTTAATATAGGACCCAAGGAGAAAAACGTTTTTATTACTGGATCATAAGATAATATTTTTGAAAAAGTACTTTTGTTTGGCCACTGGCCTGTAGAAGAGCCTTGCATAGTAGGCCTATAGGCAAATTAATAAATGAGCTAGAATTTCTTTAACGCGGTCAGACGAAAATGACCAAGAATTATACCGACTACTCCTCAACAATGGCAAATAACGGTTTTCGATTTTGCGTGTACTTTCACCCCCC